GGCGAGCGGGAGAGAGGGAGGGAGAGACGGAGAGAGAGAGAGAGAGAGAGAGAGAGAGAGAGAGAGAGAGAGAGAGAGAGAGAGAGAGAGAGAGAGAGAGAGAGAGAGAGCGATCGAGCATCTCTCTTGAGTGTGGATTTATAAATCACTACATATTACATATTTCAGGTTGAATACAAATTTATCAGGAACGCATTGCCATGTACGCAAATACACAACGACCGCTGTAACGCTGTTTTGCTTACACGCCGGTTTCAGGAACCTAACCCCTTCAGGGCCGTAGCCTGCGGGGGCGGCAAGGGGGGCAGCTGCCCACCTAGATTTTGGATCAAAATTTAAAAAATAAATTGATCTACTAAAAGAGAATTGTCGTAGTCAGAATGAAGGCTGTACATGTACTCAAAAGTGCCTCAAATACCATCTCCTGCGATCTACATTTTCAAAATGTTCTGTGGGAGGACCCCCAGACCCCCAAATGTTTCTCACTCCCTTTTTGAAATCCTGGATCCGCCACTGCCCCCCTTTCCTATGAATTTGCTCAGCCTATGAAAAACGAGCGGAAGTGTACATAAAATGGTTAATAGAATGAGGGCACAGAGGTTGTAATTGCTGCGATGCCCATGTCACAGAGTGACTGTTATTTATGATAATTCATAGTAAACAAACCAAAAATAGCTATATTGACCCGTTTCCTCTAAAATAGTGCTGCTCTGCAAATCATGAACCAAATGTAAACCAAATATGGCGTCCGCGCACGTTAAATTGTTTCCGTTGGAACGTTCTTTTCATTTGTACAACCTCTTTTTCGTTCATCGAACATCTTTCTATCGTCTCTTTTTAAAAGCTCCGTAGTGTACGGAGTTGACGGTAATTTTACATCCCTATTCACACACAGATTCGTGACACTGCAGTTTAAATCGTACCTATCAGTTTATGTAAAATTATATATTATATCTAATTATATCACGACTGTACTCATCGAAAAAGAGGCTGCAGATCAGGTTCACTGAAATGCATATTGCCCCCGTAGCAGCACAATGTCACTTTTTCCGACCACATCTTTTTCACTACAACGCCACGCGACACACAAGTCTCTCAAATACTCGCGATGAAAATGCACTGAAACCACTATGATCGCTGTGCTAATAATCTTCAGTGCCTGTGTTATATAGCGTGAGCTGATCCATGATAAAAGATCGTGGTATGTGCGTGCGTGTACGTCCGATTACGATCCTTTATGTGAATGTTTGCGTGCGCGCGTGTGTTTGCGTGCGCATTTGTAATTGTGCGTGTGCATGTATGCGCATACGCGTTGGTATGTGTGACTTATATGTGTGCCTACATGCGTGCGTGTATGCGCACATGCGCATGTTCGTCGGCATATGTGAAAAGATTCATGCCTGTGTATGTGTGCTCGCGTGCATGGGTGTATGCGCGCCAGTGCGTATACATACATAAACGTGTTATTCACGTTTAACGTGTAATCTACGTTGGAGCATTTGCTTGCACGCATTTACGTGCACGCAGCGCAGCAAAATCTTGCAGTCGGCGCAGCGTCGAAGCCCACTGGATGCAGCAGCCATGAGGGATGCAAGCAGCAACAACGACCGGCGTTACCGCTACACTCGCACGCAGCCGTGCTGCCGCGGCTAGCAGCCTGGCTTACACACAGCCATTATGCAAACAGATCAATGCACGAGAGCGAGACGCAATGGCATCAGGACAGTAGTGGCTGAAACGCTGCTGTCCCGCAACATGCTGATTCAGCGACGCGTTCGTAGCCGATGGTCATGGAAGCCATGCTGTAAAGGGAGTGGCTGGGATCGTGCAGCACATGCCATCGTCCGCTCGCCTATCAAGTAGTCGCGTTACGCGATGTCGTCGGTGAAATGCCGACCTGAGTTCTGTTAGTGGCGCAAAGCAGGCCGACGGCGCCCGTAGACGCTCTCCACGGCGTATCGTCAGTGGTATGCGCTCGTATTCTTCATCTCCCGCACGCGTCTGTGCTGCTGGTGCGAAAGTCGAACGTGGCCAACCGACGTGTATCTTCGTGGCAAGATCAGGGACCGTCAAGCAAATGTTGAAGCGCTACTTGGCTACGAATACGGCTGGCTTGTTGATGCTTTAGCACGCTGCGATAGAGCGTGCGGAGCTTCGTGAAGCGTTGATTCCAGCGCGTATATAGGCTCGATCCATTGTTTACGACCGCTGTGCCTATACTCAGATTAAACTAATTAAATACAACGAGGACGACGTCGGATGTATCGTCTCGCGCTCGTGGTGTGTTAAATGGCATTGAATTGGTGATGCGAGAAATGAATAAGGTGAATTGAATGAAGTGCTCACGTACTTCGGCCTCCTGTTACCTGGTGTAGCTTGTACAGCTGCGCTATAGCCGAGAGCAAGAAGCATTACGCATCTGTGTGTGCGTGCGAGCACGTCTGTGTGTGTGCGTGTGAGTGTCTGTGTGTGTGCGTGTGAGTGTCTCTCTGTGTGTGTGTGTGTGTGTGTGTGTGTGTGTGTGTGTGTGTGTGTGTGTGTGTGTGTGTGTGTGTGTGTGTGTGTGTGTGTGTGTGTGTGTGTGTGTGTGTGTATGCGCGCGCGTGCGTGCGTGCATGCGTGCGTGCGTGCGTGTCTGTGTGTGTGTTTTTGTGTGTGTTTCTGCATGTGTGTGCGTGCGTATGTGTGTGTGTGCGCGCGCGTGCGTGTGCCTGGGTACAGTATAGGGCTATGGTCGGCGACTGTTCATCAGCGACATGTATTAGAAGCTTCGAAAATACTGCGTTGGCTCCTAAATGTGGTAACCTGGGTGACAACCCCCACCGCAGGGCTCCTGCTTAACGCTCCGCTTCAGGTGCCATAATAACCACGAAAGATGGCCTCGCATCTCGGCCGACTAGGGTGCGCTAAAGACAGCGGCAAAATAGTAAAGTACATGCCATGCACGGAGCGGGAGGACAGACTTGAGGAGGCTGAACTGGATGAGATATCAGTGATAGGAGGCGGTAGCATGGACAGCCTCGGCCGGCCGGTCGAATGCGCGATATCAACAACCGAGCTCACTGAAGGTCGCCACTCACCGGTGACAGCCAATGGACCGAAACTAATCCCCGTAAACCTAGCCATCATCGATGATCGCACGCGACTTATCGGCGAGAGGCTCAGTTCAAGTGGGACCAGGATAAATATTCCGTCGCCCACCTACTCATCTACAGCCAGCATGCGGAGCCCAAAGGGCACCATCAATTCGAGTAGCTCGCGGACGAGCCTTCTGGATGCGTGTAGCAGTGCGATACACGTCGACAATGGGAAACATGGAAAGTCGCTCTCCAAGGAAGATCAGTCCTACGTGAATAAGGCAGCGATGTGTTCAGATGGCGAAATAACGCAACAAAAAAATTACCAACGGAGGAGAAAAATACCGGAAAAGTGTGGGAAATGGGAGATGTCGATCCAGGGCAGTCATAAGCACCTGGGCTGCAACATGACCTTTGTTTTCGACCCGTCCGGCCGTCTCTGCTACTACTGGTCTATAATAGTTAGCGTCGCATTCTTGTACAATTTCTGGGTGCTAATCTACAGGTTCTCGTTCGACGAAATATCGAACGAGACAATGGTAATGTGGTTTTCGCTGGACTACTTGGCAGACGTCATTTATATACTCGATGTCGGAGTCGGATTTCGCACCGGTTACCTAGAGGACGGCGTTCTCCAGACGGACCCGGTGAAACTGCGCCAACACTACATGAACTGCACGCGATTTTACATTGACTGCCTGTGTCTGTTACCGCTGGAATTCCTGTATCTTTCTATAGGCTTCAATACTATACTGCGCTGTTTTAGACTCGTTAAGATCTATCGCTTCTGGGAGATGCTCGATCGTACTGAGAGGCACACCAATTACCCAAACAGCTTCCGTGCTATCGGTCTCATTCATTATTTGCTCGTGATTTTTCACTGGAATGCCTGTTTATATTACATAATATCACAAAAGATCGGAAGTGGCAGCCGTGCGTGGAACAATCCGTTCGACAAGGACGACAAGTTACGCAACTACCTGCATTCTTTTTATTGGAGTACGGTGACGCTGACAATGATTGGCGATCTGCCAAAGCCCAGGACTAATGTGGAATATTTGTTCTGCATAATGGAAACAATCGCCAGCTTACTATTGTTTGCCACCGTGTTAGGACACGTTGCGAACATCGTCACTAATATAAGTACTGCCCGAAAGGAATTCCAAGGTAGGTGAATTTCTTTACAAACTCTTAATTAGTTAAACACGTGTAGACCATGAAGTATGCTACTTATAAAGAGCAACTAAGAGCCATGATATTCGTTGCTCTCGAGCGTTCATGGACGTTTGTATATATATATATATATATATATATATATATATATGTATAACACACGCCGTCATCAAGTGTACCAAGAGTGCTAGAGGAGATCTGAAAATTTCCCCGTCCCTACGTCTGACGAGCCACTCTCAATGCATTTCTCAGTAAACGATAAAGCAACGGTTTAATCATAAACTATTGAAACATTGAATACGTAATCAAACGAACGTCATTCGAATTCAAAATGTCCGCAAAATGTTGAACTTGTCATTGTGAAAATTTAAGCGAAAAAGCTGTTCGCGCGACAATAAAAATAGTGGCAAAACCGTCGGACAAAATCAATAATGCCGCGGCAGCAAACGCCACGCACAATACGCGGCCACACAACGCGATAGTTTCAGAAAGACTCGCTGCAAAGGCAGGACTTGATAACTGCTTAGAGATTGATGTCTTTCATGCTAGGATGCCGTTGAGCGCGTCGTGACTGTAGACGAGCCCTTCACAAGAGCATCGCAGCAAGCGACTCCCCGCCTATGTCATTAACCCGACAGAATCTTACCATGACCTTTTTGTTGGTGGCGTGGCTTGCGCCTATATATTGCTTTTCAGTTGAGGTACACCAAAATGGTATGCGACAGAACAATGAAGTTTGCGCAACCGAGTACTAATTACTGCACGATAGCGTTGCATTTGAAAATTGAATGTTGTTGTAACGAATCCACGTGCTGCTATTTCCCCGTAATGTACACCAACACGAAACAGCTGCTGAATATGTGTGCGTTTGTAATCCAAAAATATGCAAAACAAATTTGCCACGAATACGTCGTAAAATAATTGGATAAAATAAATCAGTAATAATGTGTGCGGAAATCGGGGTATGCGCCTATAGAAGGCATGGAAAATTGGGTGTAATAGGGACTTGATATGGAGAGAGCGATTGAAAGAGGAAGTGAAGAGGAGAAGACAGTGGAAAGATGGAAAGATTGGTCGATCAATCGGTCGGTCGTTCGGTCGGTCGTTGGTCGGTCGGTTGGTAAGTACGGGTATAAGTATAGAGAGACAGAGAGAAGAGAGCAGAAAGAGAGAGAGAGAGAGAGAGAGAGAGAGAGAGAGAGAGAGAGCGCGCGCGAGAGAGAGAGAGATAGTGAGAAAAAAAAAGAGAAAGGGTGAGAGGGACATAGGGAGAAAGAACGAAAGACAGATAGATAGATTGAACGAGAGCGTGTAAAAAGGGGGGAAACAGGTAGGGCGAGTTCCGGAGAGAATCAAGAATGTGGATGGGATCACTCGATGGCCAAGCGAAATTTATGCGACGATGAGCGAAACATAAAGAGAGAGCGATAGAGAGAGCGCGCGAGAGAGAGGGAGAGAGGAGAGAGAGCGCGAGAGAGAGAGAGAGCGCGAGAGAGAGACAGCAAGAGAGAGAGCGAGAGCAAGAGAGCAAAAGAGAGAGAGAGAGAGAGAGAGCGAGAGAGAGAGAGAGAGAGAGAGAGAGAGAGAGAGAGAGCGAGAGAGAGAGAGAGAGAGAGAGCGAGAGAGAGAGAGAGAGAGAGAGAGAGAGAGAGAGAGAACGCGCGCGAGAGAGAGATTCTTCCTGTGCGATAGTGAACCACATTAGCTGACTAAGATCCTTTATGGCACAGCTTCAGTCAGTAGCGGATCGCAGGATATCGGCTATAGAGAAGATAGAGGTCCTATCTAGAAGCACTCATAATTGATATACATGTGAATCGTGAGAGAAGCCCTAGCGAAAGCGCAGCACATTCAGTGGCGTTACACATATTATTATTATTATTATTATTATTATTATTATTATTATAATTATTATTTTGATAGATGACATATCTATATCGCTCAAATCCTATAAAGACAGCAAATTCCTGCTGATAGTTTAAATGTAAATAAAATAAGTTTAATAGATGTCAATTCTCTAAAGTGATTTTATGTTATCAATGCGAAGACGTCGGGTAGTCGTCAATACTGAAACATTATTAATACATCAATGGAAAGACGTCTAATAAAAACATCGTTTTCACTTCATTTGAAGACGTCGCTTCCATAACCAAGAAACGACGAATACGAGACGTCTAAAAGACATCGTGTACCAACTGGGTGGTATCTCTAATCATTTAGACAAAAGTAACATGGTGCTGATACTGGGTATACCGGTAGATGGCATGTCGTGAGAGCCAGAATCGCGTGTTAGTAATATTGACATAATAATACTTATTATTATACATTATATACATAATATACATATAGACATTATATACATATTATGTAATAAAATCTACGTTGAAATGCAGAACGGTGCACATATTCGAGCAAATACTGATGTGTGAGCGTTCTAAAATATGTTACACTTGGTGTTACGCAAGGGTACCCACTAGTAAGTATCAGAATGGTCGATAAAATACGAGAACGGTAGTAAAGCCGTGTAGAAATGTTGCTTTAAAGGCATTTCATTGATGGGCAAAACAGGAAAAACTGCTGCTTTATCGTAATTGTCAGGGCAAACTAGCGTCTGTCTCAATCGCCTCCCGCATCAGTCATCGGATTACGACCTCGAATCACATTGATGCAGCGGAGACGCACTATAGCACTTGCTTGTCATGTATATAGCAAACAAACTCAGCGCGTTTACCGAATTCTCATCGCGATTGAAATTCGTAAGTCATCGAACGCATATCAATAACGTGCCCGACTGAAAAATCTATAGTTCGACTCAAGCGATAAGCCGTACTAGGATTTCGATGTTGTAAATGTAAAAGCACAATTTATGCCATTATCTCATGCTTGCATTTTAGAGATACACCGCTGCGCAAGACACCCGGTTTCATATGTTATGAGGCATATTTCTCGCAGGTAACCGGGTCATATTTCACACTGAAAAACGGCGGACCGGTCTCTATGCCTGCGTCACTTGACGCAATGACGCTATGTTGTATTTCCGAGTGCTGTATCATAGGCGGGCATTATTGGTCAACGTAGTTCTGTGCTGTTCCAAATGTGGCTCCACGCAATTCGACGTGATCACTGGAAGCCGAAAATAATGTTGGTGTGTGCTATTAACATATTACGCCTCGATATTACGCTCAATTCGGTAAAGAATACAAATGTTATGAGAGCTCATTATATTTAGAATCCGCCAAAAAGCTGAAATTTTTTTGTTTATTTTGGTTAGGTTTAAGAGATGCTGTTCATATGATGCGCCAGTATTCTTCTTCTTCTTCTTCTTCTTCTTCTTTTTCTTCGTCTTCTTTTTCTTCTTATTCTTCTTATTATTATTATCATTATTATTATTAATAGTAGTAGTAGTAGTATTAGTAGCAGTAGCAGTAGCAGTAGCCGTAGCAGGAGCAGTAGCAGTCGCAGTAACAGACTGTAGCAGTAGCAGCAGTAGTAGTAGTAATAATAATAATAGTTGTAGTAGTATAGTACCTAGTCAAACGTTAAAATAACGTTGACATTTTGACATTGAATCAAATTGCAAATCCAGACATTTTTCAACGTCGTTTCAACGTTGATTGTCGACGTTGTTTCAATGTTGTTTCAACGTTTTTTGCCCGCTGGGATATGACTTCAAGAAAAAATTTCAATCCACAAGAATTATTCTAGATGACACGGAGTGCCCAATTTATTAACCAAACTGTCCAATTGCACAGCAATCAACATTTTCCTCATACAAAAACAGAAATGCAATGACGCTTATGGTGGGGTAGTCCACGTGGGTTAAGTACACAATGTACCCGAGGTTTATGGGGCTCAACTAGTGACAGACAGTTTGTTGAACAGAGTGGATTGATATTCACGCGTGACCGCGGAGATGGTCTTATGGTGGACAATGGCATGAATATGCAAGATTTGTTTGCTTCACATGATGTAACTGTGAACATGCCTAACTTTTTAAAGACGGGCACTAGTACGCTGATACACGACAGAAAAGTCGCTAGTAAACAAGTATATACATGTAAAGAGAATAATATGACTAGCAAAAACATATAAAATACTAACTCAGCCATTGAATACATCGAGCTCGCTTTATTATTAGCAACAGAGACTATATTCTTTTGTTTCTTGCTTTGTAACTTTCGTAAATGCATAATTCCAAACAGTGCATAGTTGAACCTTATTCTCACATTATAGTATATATATAAATATATATATATATAATGATATTTCCACAATGAATAAAAAACATGTGCTTAAGGCTGCTAAGTAACTATAGTAGGCCTATTTTATAAAAAGTATAGCAAAGACATAGGTGAGTGTAGGAGCTAATCGTCTTGCTCAAAACAATCGTATGCCAATTAAACACAATTTTCCACTGAGCAACCTCATTTGAGGGGTAACTCGTCGTAAAGCCTTTTAAAACATCGTTCAAAATTTCAACTCACAGACGTCTTGTGACCGTCTATCCACTTACGAAAAATGATAATGGTCGTATTCCTTAAATATGTGTGTGTGTGTGTGTGTGTGTGTGTGTGCGCGCGCGCGCGCGTGTGTGTGTGTGTGTCTGCTAGGACCGGACCGAAGGCGG